GAGGAAATGGCCTCAAGTTGCGCCAGGAGAGCCTTAGATTAGATATCAGGAAAAATTTCATCACCAAGAGGGTGGTCGAGCATTGGAACAGGCTGCCCAGAGAGGTGGTGGAGTCACCATCTCTGGAAGTGTTCAAAAAACATGTGGATGTGGCGCTTCAGGACATGGTTTAGTGGGCATGGTGGTGTTGGGTTAACAGGTGGACTTGATGATCTTGAAGTTCTTTTCCAACCTAGTGATTCCGTGCTTCTATGTCCTGTTTTCATGTTTTATATTGTTTTTCCTTGTGGCACACTTACCTCAGTTGTATTTCCCTTCAAATTAAATTAATGTTGCTGTTCATAGACTGAGATGTGACAAGTAGATTGTGTTACAAAATATTCATATTTACAAATTGTCTATTTATATATTGGCAACATTTTGTCATTCTTGTCTGCTTTCCCTCTCCTGGAGATGAGAAGGCATCTACATGAACTTCAGGTTATAACACCAGCAAGGGTAGCAGGTCACGCTTGTAATAACCTGAAGCATATTCCTTGAAATCAAATAAATACTATTTCTTTAAAGTTATCACTTAATGACAGAGATTAGGGGGTACAAAATGTTTAGATGGAGGATGTGCGCCACTGCTGCTGAGCAGTATTAAAAGTTTCAGTAGTGTAACCAAAACACAAGCAGTTGTTTATTATCAGCTCAGATACAATGATGCTGACCCCTCCAGTCTAAATTTTCTGATGAATATAAAACAAATCTCTCTAACGACAGTGAAGTAATATACATCTCTGTCCTTCCCCCTGCACTCCCCCTAGCCATCCACTATTTTTTTTTTTCTGGCATTATGCTCACCATTTCACAAGCTTCTCTGTATTCTGAGTTCATTACCTTTAGTGTAAGACAGGGACCTCAAGGGAGTTTACAGTGATTTCTCAGCATCCTGCTGTCTTCACCTGGAGGATGAGTGTGGTGATGGTGATTTCTTCCTCTTCTGTGCTGGGAGAAGCATGATGTTTTCTTCCTATTTTCTTAAAATTTGCTCGCAGGCCATTATGATACATTTTTCAAGATGTTTTACATGATGTGTTTTCTTTGTTAGTTGGCAAATACAGAGTTGGCAAATACAGCACATTTTTGCTTTTAAATTCTCATTCTTTGTCCTTGTTATCCCTAAAACAGCTGTTGCTTGGTTCCAGCCTTTACAGTACAGTTAACAGCCACGGGTGAGTTGCTGAGAAGGTGTCTCTGGTAACCTTCTGTGACCACACCTGCAGGATATCTGCTGTCAGCCCATGCCTGTACTACTTTTTGCTGCATCAGCATCCTGTGGTCATAGGTAGTTCTTTCCTGCACAGTTTAGCTAGCTGGCGTTCCTGTATATATCAAAACTGTTAACAGGAGGTTGTACACCACAAATCTATGCAAATCTAAGCAAAACCAGAGCTAACTAGGTGACAATTACGTGGTCACTGAACAATTGCTGTTGCAGCTAGTTGAACTAAAAGAACATCCCAAGCAAATGAAGTCCTGACAAGTGTGAGGCTTGTGTTGTTAGCTTCATATGAAGGCTGTGGCCTGTTACGAGCAGTGACCATGTTGTACTTACTGGGCCACAGGTTGCTATTACTAGTACAAATATTGTTGATCAGAAGCGGTTGTAGATTTGTAGGACTGAAGAAGAATGTCAATCTGAGGTACACTGTTACCTCACTGAGGCAGGAGAAAGCAAAGAGGAACTCAGAAAAATGTGATGCACAAACAGTTCTGCACTTCTCTCTCCTATATAATGTTAATCGATACGAAGTAATTTGGTGGAGAATTGACTCCCCAGTTACTATAGAGAGGGAAGGTTGTGACCACCTGTTAATAACAGATCCTATGTATTCTTTTCACCACAGAATAGGTCCTGTAATCTCCTTTTGCCAGATGATTTTCCTTAAATGCTATTTTTATTTCAGCCTGGCTTTAAGTTGTACAGAGTAGAAGGAACAGAAAGCTTTCTTCCTGAATCTGCTGGCTTCTAAAAGTTAACACTTTAATATGCTTTCACCACAGGCGTTTTGCATTTAATTTAAAATTGTCAGCACAACTATTTACTTTTTTTTTAAAGCCAGAAATATCCAGGCAATACACTTAATTTCAAACTCTGAACTGCCTTTTTGAATGTTCAAAGGACTAGCTGTTTCTTTTCACATCACTGAAAGTAACACTATCTGTATAGTACTTGTTTTATACTTCCTGCTG